CTTAAACTCTACACCCTGAACAACCAACTAAAAGAATGCTGTAGGCCCCCACTCACCGCTGCGTGAACTCCTGAGGAACGTAGAGGGCCACCGGCTTCTTGCGTTCTCTTCCGGAACGCCACAAGACCCCCGCGCTCTGCAGCTCCGCCTCAAGGCCTCCCTTTGTTGGCCCCGTAGTTTGCGTCTCGCATATTTCGACTTCCTCCTCAGCCCCACCGCCGGGGGAGGTGCTGCCGCTAGGCTTTGCCTCCTCTCCTTCTGTAGTGGCTTTCCCTCCTGATCCTTCGCATGGCCCCTCAGGCGCTGCAGGCTCCTCGGTGCCTTCGGCTAGCTGTTGCTGGTTGCGTCGTTCCTCTGCTTCTTCGTCCATCACTTCGTTGATGTCTACCAAATTCTTCTCGTCTAAGTCCTCCTCAAACGGCGCAGATCCCTCTAACACCAGCGGTTCCTCGTCCTCTCCTAGCACAGGGAGCGGCTGCCGGGGGCGCGAGACCAGATCCTCCAGGTGCAGATTCGCGATATCTTCAGTGCCAGTTGCCGCCATTTGCTGCAAGGCAACAAACAAACAAACACTCGAGCATGCAACTACACCGACTGTAATTAGGCACATTAGCACCGCCAGGTGAGCTACAGGGCGATGCGTACAACAGCTTCCCCGTCCAAGCTGCAACTACCTGGTGCACTAACTCCAGGAGATCAGAAGCTAAACCCTAAACCCTAAACCCGAAACCCAGAAAACGAGGCAAGATAGAGGCCCAAGCTAGAAGCTCAGGGTTTCAAAAGCTGCACATAGACGTCGTAGCACATAACCCGAAACTGTGTGGTTCGCTGTTTCGTGGGGTTGCGTACAACAATTGCCTTTTTGCCGTGAAGCATGAGCCGTCGGACTTCATCAGTGGATATCTTTTCGGATCTGTGTTCCTTGATGTCCTCGCCATCTTCGCCATCTAACGCCTCCGCTTCCTCCTCTATCTGTTGTTGTACAAGCAGCTTGTCTAGCCGCAGTTTCTGTTCACGACGGAATGCCATCCGCTCCTCCACTGTCCACTCGCTCACCAAAGACCAAACATGAACTTCTCGCTGCTGCCCGATACGGTGAGCTCTGCAACCAAACCCACCAACAGCAACCACACGCGCAGTTCATGCTTCCCCCCCTCGACACGGCTAAACATGAAGGGGAAAATATTGAACATCAGGAATTGACTAATTCAAAAACCTACGCTAATTCGAAATTTCACATGACAAACAAATAAAGAAACAACCAGAGAGCGGCAAAACGAAAGAAACAGGCGCATGCTCGCATGCCTACCTGTCCACCGCCTGAAGATCAATGAAGGGGTTCCAGTCGTGGTCGTATATAACCACGTGATTCGCCGCCGTTAAGTTAATACCCAGGCCCCCCGCCCTGGTGGATATCAAATACACGAAGTAACATGTGTTATCGTTGTTGAAATCCCGAATGTCCAACTCCCGCACAAACTTGTTCGTAGAGCCGTCCAGCCTAACAAACCAACCCGTCACACACAAGCAACACATGAAACACGCCAT